CAGCGCTCCCCCCGCGGCCTAGTCCAGGCTGCGCCCCCTTGCGCTCTCCCCAACTTGCCTTTGTTATTCCAGCTCCCTTCCTCGCCTCGCCACCGACACCGCGGCAGCCTGCAAAACGCGGAGCGAGGAACCACTGCCACACCTGGATTGCGAAGCGGGCTCCGGGCCCAAATCTCCCCTCCTGTCTGCCCCGGAGGGGAGCGCGCTCCCCCCGCGGCCTAGTCCAGGCTGCGCCCCCTTGCGCTCTCCCCAACTTGCCTTTGTTATTCCAGCTCCCTTCCTCGCCTCGCCACCGACACCGCGGCAGCCTGCAAAACGCGGAGCGAGGAACCACTGCCACACCTGGATTGCGAAGCGGGCTCCGGGCCCAAATCTCCCCTCCTGTCTGCCCCGGAGGGGAGCGCGTGCGTGCGCGGGAGTATGTGTGTCCAAACCCGGCTCTGATGATGCTGCGGAATGCGGGTGCCGCTCTTCAAGTGCGGGGTGCCCCGAGGAAGCGGCGTGGAAGAGAAAGTGTATGAGGGGCGCGTTTGTATGTACGTGAACGTGAGATTTCGTGCACAGGGAGTGTTTTGGTTTTTGAGTGTACGTGGGTTTATGTGCAGCGATGTTTGCAAGTGTGTGTGTGCAGCTGCGTGTCTGAGTGTGCTCACTGACTGCGCGGGCGTATTTGTGAGGGAAAGTGTGTGTGTGTGCGCGCGCGAGCGCATTTGTGTGCTGCGAGGAATAGTAGCATGTTTGCCGAGCTGAGGGTGAGCGCGAGTGTGTGCCGTTTGTGTAGGAGTTTCTGTGCCTGTGGCAGTGGAGGTGATCCAGAGTGGGCGCGCACTAAGACGTTCTCGGGGGCGGGCTGAGAGGGGAACCCCGCGAGTGGGGGCGCTCAGTCGCGCCTCGGCTCCCTGCCACTCACCCCTTCGGCTGTGCCCAGGCCTGGGTGGAGGTCTGGGCCGGGTCTGCCGCCCCCGCCTCGCAGGCGCGCACGACGCCCCGGGCGCTGCCTCGTAAGGCCTTGGGGAACCCACGTGTCAGGGACGAAGCCAGGTGCCCATACTCGCCGGGCGCGCCGCA